AGCTTTAACGCTTGAGCTATGTTATCCATAATGGAGATTTTTTTGGGGGGCGTTAGATCACGTAAACATAAATGTTGTGTCGTTAAACCCGCTGCTGCCCGTTTACGTGACAGACCCTTTACTAACTGGCCATGTCGGGTGGTGGCGGGTTTAACGATGCACGTTCATATTCACGCGATCTAACCCAAAAAAAACCTCTATGATGTATTATATATTTATGTAATTTGGGTGATTTGTTTACCTTTCTTGTACTTTGGACTGCTATCGTGTTTATGTATTGTGTTTGTTGTTGTAACGTTCTGACCCCATGCCCCCTACTGTACATCTGTGAACAAAGCGCTTCATAGCTCATCAGATTCCTCCTGCAGTAGAAATACTATGCTCTGATTGTGATGTCACGTCTTGGTGTTGTCGTCGTTATGTGCGTATGTCTTGCCACGTGCTCAGAAATCGCGCACGCGGACTGTGAGGGTGAGCGTCAGAGGGAGCCATGTCCCACAAATCGTCGCCGAGCAAGGCCGAGTACAAGGGCAAGACAGTCGAGGCTATTCTGGCCGGGATGCCCACAAGTGTCGCGGTTGCCATAGAGATCACCAACCTATCGACGTACACACTCGAACATCCAACGTGAGTACGCGCATGATTGTTAAACTTATTTCGCACCGTACTTAGCCAACCATGGTAATCTGAGGTGTGGGGGAAGGACAATAAACTAAACACGAAAATCGATCAGGTGGATCTGGACAATGCTTGTGCTGTCTTTCTGTCTCACACACAAGACAAAGATCCTCCGTATGGCCTTAACAGACCGCTGGTACAAGTACTGTTAGCGAGTAGCATCTATGAAAGCTTTACCTGGTATAGTGACACAGCACCGACTGCTGTCCAGCTGCGGCAACTGTGGTGCACAGGGCGTGCCGGCAGGGCAGAGGAAGACCTCATTGGGAAGCCCCTGGAACCCGCTAGTGGGTTCAAGAAAGGAGGTGCGGCCAGGGCGGAGCCAGGCCGCGCCGAGTAGATTAAAAGCAGCGGAGAGCGAGAGCTCTGGGCTGCCGGTTCTGGGAGTGGACTCGTCTCGCCGCCGCTGTCATCTTCGCCACCTTCGTCACTGCCGTCTTCACTGGATAATTGCGTGGCCAGACAATTGTTGGCTGTCTCGGTCAACGCCGTCGGTGCAAAGCGGTGAGTGTTGTGTCTAGGCTGGGCTGTAGGGTAACAGGAGCGAGAAGGAGGCGATCCGGTTTGTGAACGGCCGAAAGGTGTTACAGTAAAAGAAGGTGCCTCCTGCAACTACCTCGTCTCCGACTTGTGCTACACTACACTGGTAATGTAAAAAAGTTAAATTTTAGTAGTTTTTACATATTTATTTTCAGCGAGTTGCTTACCTTTACCATACTTTGGATTCATATCGTTGTTTTCTTTGCATTGTTTCTAGTTTTAACTTTCTGACTGCGCCCGACCGGGGCATCTGTGAAAAAGAGCTTCATAGCTCATCGGATTTCTCCAGGATAAATAAAGGTGCAACTTGACAGTTACAACTTTATTTATCCATTATTAACAGTTTCAACTTGAAAGTTACAACTTCGTTTATCCTTGGAAAAATCCGATGAGATATGAAGCTCTTTTTCACAGATGTCCCAGTTGGGCGCAGTCAGAAAGTTACAAAAAAAACAATACTAAGAAAAAAACGATAGGAGTGCAAAGTATAGTAAAGGTAAGCAAATCACTAAAAATAAATACTTAAATATACTAAAATTAAACTTGTTACTTTACCGGGTAAAGCCTTCATAGGTGCTCACTAACAGCACTTGTCCCAGCAGTGTACTAAGGCTATACAAGGGATCTTTGTCTTGTGTGCGAGACATAGAAACAGACAGCACAAGCATTGCCCAGGATAAACAAAGATTTTGAATCCGAACCGCTCGCAACGTGACCTGTGTGTGATTCTCCCTCCAGCTACGTGACATCTCACGGCGTTTTGGATTACTCCCTGGAGACAGAAATCAAACCCGGGGAGAAGTACGCCTGCGGATTCCGCAAGCACAAGGTAGGCGTGAAGGGCTGCCTTGGAGTGCTGCGCTACGCCATCCGGGACACCGAAAGGTGCCTGGACATCTTCTTCAGCAGCCCTTACGCGTGCATCGTCTACGACCGAATGGTCGGCATTCAGCTGGAGAACATGGGCAAGACCTACGTCAGAGCGTCGAATCGACTCCTGGAGGAGATGGACCACTCCCGGGACAAGCCGTACGATTTCGACAAGAAGAAGGCCGGCGACTCCCCCGCCACGGTCACCAACAGCGCGATGAATCTCGCGGTGACAGCCACAATGCTCGACGAGCATAGGTCTATCATCCGCGTGCAGCTCACGGGCGTGTAACCCCATGGTGGCTAGTTAACTACCTCACCTGGTATGCAGGAGGCCGTGGGTTCGATCCCGACCCTGATGCCTGTTGTATATTTGGAGTTTGCGTGTCTGTCGTATCATCATCACCATCACCATGGTGGCTAGGAGATGTTAACTACCTCGCCTGGTATGCAGAAGGCCATGAGTTCCATTCCGATCCTAACGCTTGTTGTATATTTGGAGTTTACGTGTCTCTCTCTCTCGCGTATCATCATCATTACCATGGTGGCTAGGAGATTTTAACTACCTCGCCTGGTATGCAGGAGGCCGTGGGTTCCGATCCAGACCCTATCGCCTGTTGTATAATTGGAGTTTGCGTGTGTGTCTCTCTCCCCGTGGTCGCGTGGATTTTTCTCCTATTAGTAAAGGTTTTTCATGTAAACAAAACGTGGCCAATTCTTTACTGGTACAGCACACCGGTGTGTTGGAGAGTAAATCCAGATTTGCATTTACAAAAAAAGTGACATTCTTTGTTTACGTGACAAACGTTACTAATTGGCTTTGTTGGTTGGTGTAGGGTTTAACGACACATTTAGATTTACAAAATCTAACCCAAAAGCCTCTATAACGGATATTGGTCGCGAAACCCTACGTGTTAAACATACAAAATGATATCAGAAATTACCAAAACAACTTCTATTTTCATCACCAAAACACTCTAATCATCTTCCAACTCCAGTTGGATTGATAAAAATAAACAAGTTATTAACACTTGTGCAGTGTATGTCAACTGAGGTGCGCACACACTGTTGTAGGAGGCAACGCGTTTATTAAACAATTCAATGTACACCGGGTTCTGTTGCTAAGTGTGGCTAACTTGCCCTAGGCTGCTCACTATGTGCCTGTGAGTTAACTCGCTTTATCCCCGAACGAGCCCCGTTTATATTCAACATCACGCATTTTAAGTTGTTTGGCTTCTGCTATAATGTCCACGTGATGACGATAAGCCACTTCGTTGAGCCATATAAAATATATTGCAAGAGTAATTGACGAAATAGCGAGAGTTTAGGAAAAACTAAATCAGAGTAAGATTTGTCACGGTACATAATTCTAAAACTAGTATCGCTCTGAATTCGAGCGCAGTGAGAAGGCCCTGCCGCACTCAGGGCACGCTTGTGGCCTCTCGCCCCCCGCCCCACCACAACAGGAAAATTAAAAGTGTGTAGTTAAGAAAAATGTAAGGAATCGGAAAGAGAGTAAGTGGCCGTCCATAAATGACGTCACGCACCTAGGAGGGGGTGGGGGTTAGACATTTGTGACGATTTGTGACGAGGGGGAGGGGTTTGAGAAATGTGACGTCACATCAAAATGCATAACCTTAAATAAATACACGTTCTACTTAATTAAATCGCCTTTTTAATAAATGTTTTCTCCTACAACATCAGAGTTCAGCGCCACATTAAATACGCACTACAATGACAATAGTGTAAAGCGATTTGAAGCATGTTTTATTTTGGGGGGGGGGAGGGCAGAGCTTTGTGACGTCATATTGAGGGGGGTCTGACTTTTTGTGACGCCGTGTGACTAGGGGGGGGGGTCAAAAATCGTCCAAAATCGCATGACGTCATTTATGGACGACCCCTAAGACCTAACAGAATGGCTTGACGACAACCTCATAAGAGGTTGGTACCAGAAAGATGCGGCTCTACTTGAGCATATTGGCACTACAAGAAAAAGGAAAGTGGAAACAAATGACGAAATGTGCAGTGGATACCAACTACTACGGGGCTATCTGCACATGGATCGTGATGCTGATGATGATGAACTCGCCCACGATGGGCAAGGTTTTGGTGTATTGAGAATCGGCGTTCACAATGCGAGCATCTCTTTTGACTTCTGCGACAGATGTAATTTTGTCTTTTACACAAACCCAGAGACGCCTGCACTCCCACGTTGCAAACACACACCACGAGGTCGGTTCTTCTTTAAGGGTTTTTTTTTGTACGATGACGTTTGGTAAGACGTTGCGATCTCAGTGAGAGAACAACAAAAACACCAACAACACGATGTCACGCGGCGGTCCTGTAACTACCAGTACACAAAAACTACCAGTACTACAAAAAGTCTGATCTTGAGTTTTGATTGTGGTGTGCTGATCTTTAAATGTGTATTGAGAAATGTTGATTCTGCTACTGATGCTCCTGATATTATGGAGTGAATCATGCAGCCAGCTATGGCTGCGGGGTTTGGTCGTACATGTTACGTATATCGTTTGTTGTTGGATTTGAATCACTGATCTTATGATTACTGTTACATTGTTTTGTGGCTTTATTTTGGTGATTTTGAGGACGGTTTGGTCTGGCCATGTTTGTTTGTTGTAGTACAGAGTTGGCCTGATACCTTTAATCTACATTATCTTATGGTTGTTATTGTTTGACTTGCATCCAACTGTGATTTTTGCACAGCGTTGAAATGCAGTGTTTTATCTGGAAGACTTTGATGTTTTTTTCCAGGATTTTTTTCTGTTGCGTGTAGTCACTTTAAGATGTTTCTTGTTCATGTTTTTGTTTTGTTGCGGTTGCATCCGAGTCAAGAACCGCATGGCTCACAGGGTTATACCTAATAAATGAAACTGAAAAAACGAAAACAATAAAAGAGTTTAGGAGTGCACTTTAATCACATTTAGGAATATACTTTACAGATTACAGAATTGTCACTTCACAAACCTTAATGGCAAGCTATGTGTCCACTTTGTTATGGTTCAAAAATAATATTCATATAGAATATTCTCGATGATTCCAATTTTACACGCTTGTTGTTGTTGTTGTTGTCGTTGTATCCTCAAATATTGTTACTCAATTTTAACCCACTTCCCAATGTGGTGTCGACTGCAAACGTGGTATACTTATGTCATACTGATGACAATACTAGATTCTATCATAAAAATTTAAAATATATATTTTTAAACATTCTTTTTTGTATGTTATGTTTTGGCTTGGGTCTAATTGTCCACGGTAAACTGACGTTGGCTGTAATTGGCCACGGCCCCTTATGCTATAGCAAGCTTCGGGGCCACTTCCTGGAGTCGTGGAGTTCTACCATTACTCGTACATTTCATAAAAGAGTGTTTAAAATGTATTTATTTTACATATTCCTTATTAAATGGAAGCCACGGACTGCGCCATGGAGCTTTTAGCGGAAACAAGGTACTGTATTTACCGGGTAATACTTCGCGCTACCTTTAACCTACCGGGTAATTCTTCCGAGCTACCTTTACCCTACCTTTTACCTTACCCCGGTAAAAGGGTAAATTACCTTACCTTACTGAGGCCTAGCGTACAGTATCAACGCAAGTTTGAATGTTTTACCACAAGTCTGTGTAGTGAATGCAGACTTTATGCCTTGTTATAGAATGTCTTCTTTTTTTTACATCTTAACACCTGTATTTATGCCAGAAAAGCGTGAATCCTTTTTTAAATAATATAATTGTTCATTCATAAAGGGAGTTTTTTTTCATCCCAAAATCAAATAGTGATTAATAAATGATGATCGCCTTCAGAGAAGTATGCATTTAGATTTATAGTATCATAATTATACCTGCAAACGCCCCGTGTTGCGCTCTCGAGTCCGATTCACTCGGGCGACAGGAGAAAGCCAGAAAAGGAGCTGTCTATATCACTGCGCGAGAAGATACCGTTGTGGGCATCCGGCACCTCCAACCAGACCTGATCCCCCGCCTTGAGACTCAGCACGGCACCACCACTCAGGGCCACTCCAGGCCAGTTGCCCATCCAAGCGCTGTGGAACTTGTGCACCACCTCCCCGTTTCTCTTCAGGTGCGTGAACACGCTCTCCGAGTACACGCACGCGTGGAATACGAAGTAGTAGGCGCCTGGGTGGACGCACGTGAACTTGCCCGTGCTCGGATCGTAGTGGTTCCCGCTGTTGGTGAGTATCACGTCGAACTTTATGGGTGATCCCGACGCCGGTCTGGGCGCCGACAGCTTGGCTGTGAAGGCGGACTTGGGCATCGTGGCGCAGTCGCCTGGGTCGCCCTTCATGCCAGGCTGTCCCGGACGCCCTAACTCGCCATGCATTCCAGTCCTCCCCGGAAAACCTGAACATATGAAATTCGGCATATGTATGCGTATATGTTTGTTGAGCTTCTTCGCAGCGTACGTTGCCAAGCGTGACAATCGTAGGTGCAGGGGAAGGATAAAATAAACACAAAAAGCAGTTTACAAGAAAAAATCATAATTGTACATTTAAAATAGCATGGCCCCGGTGGCTTCCTAATATCAGAAGAGCGTTCCAGATGGCCGCAGAACCTCATCTGAAAGTGCATAATGCGGTGACCATCTTTGTTCCATGCCTGAGCCAAAAGCCACCACTGCTGCTTGGACGAGCAGAGTTCGGGTGAAAATGGTTAACGCTCCTTTGGCGAGATCAGCAGCGCGGTATCGCGGTTCTCTCGTGGCAAGAGCTCTGCGCAGTGTAATGAGTGCGACCTCATAACAACACTGCTGGATATTCGCTTGGCAATCCAAAGCCAACGAAGCTCGCACGAGCACCGGATGGACCACGGGTGTCGGATCTTGCCGTAACCCCGTTGCGACGAAGTCATCCACACTCTCACCGGGCTCTCCTTTCGCTCCGTCGACTGCGGAATTCCCGACATCTCCCTTTGGTCCGGGTGGACCGACGCCCCCTGCAAATGAAATTTGCGTTATTTTTTAATGTTCATCGAGTCGCTTTGCTTCAGTGGTCACAATCAATGGCCCACATTTCTTGGCGTTAAAAAAAATAATTACAGTAAAGGGCTCAGTACGCGGGTCCACTCACACGCAACCACCACTACTGCCACCACTACCACCACTACCACCACCACCACCTATTCCCCGCCTCACCGTCCCTGCCGTCTCTGCCCGCGGCTCCGAGCTGCCCGTGCAGTCCGGGGATGCCCGCGGCGCCAGCGCAACCGCAGGCGCAGCGCTGGCCCGGGCACTCCGCCACGCCCGGCTCCTCCTGGGCACCAGCAGCTGCCGGTGCGTGCGAGCTCAGCAGCAGCAGCGGCAGCAGCCAGAGGCGAGACATCGCCAGTCAATCCCTGCGGGGAGAGGGTGAGGAGGTGTTAGTGGTGGTAGTAGTGGCGGTGGTGGTAATGGTAGTGGTGGTGGTGGTAATGGTGGTGATGGTAGTGGTAGTAGTAGGGGTGGTGGTGGTAGTGGTGGTAGTCGTGGTGGTGGTGGTGGTAGTGGTGGTGGTGGTAGTGGTGGTGGGGTGGTGGTGGTAGTGGCGGTAGTGGTGGTGGTGGTGGGGTGGTAGTGGTGGTAGTCGTGGTGGTGGTAGTGGTGGTGGTGTTGGTAGTTGTGGCAGTGGTGGTAGTCGTGGTGGGGTGGTGGTGGTAGTGGTGATAGTGGTGGTAGTGGTGGGGTGGTAGTGGTGGTAGTGGTGGTGGTAGTAGTGGTAGTGGTGACAGTAGTAGGGGTGGTGGTGGAGGTGGTAGTAATGGTGGCGGTGGTAGTGGTGGTAGCAGAGGTCGCAAACGGGTTTTGATTCCTTACCCGTACCCGGCCGCACCAGGGTCGCAAACGGGTACCCGTACCCGGCCGTACCCATACTCGGCCGGGTACGGGTAGGGTACGGGTATCGGGTACCTGATTGCGACCTCTGGGATGAAGCCATGTTGCAGGCGCGGGTGGGTTGATTCTAGGAACTTGAATTGTGAGTAGAGACAAGACGTTGGGAAATGAGTGACAATCAGTTACTCACCAGTGACTCACGGTCTACCCGTACCCGGCCGCACCAGGGTCGTAAACGGGTACCCGTACCCGGCTGAGTACGGGTAGCCGGGTATCGGGTAGGGTACGGGTATCAGGTACCCGGTTGCGACCACTAGTCGTCCTCTCCCCCGCCCCCCCCCCCCCCGAGTCAACCCCTCTCTCTCTTCACTCAAAACTGCTCTAGAGGAGTTGTACACCCCTAGCTGCCACTGCTATTCAGTGGCCTGAAATCAAATGTATCGCTCCGGATGACCACTGCAAAGTATGATCTTCAGTTTTTATTATAGTGTGCTGATCTTTAAAGGTGCATTGAAAAATGTTGATACTCCTACTGATACTCCTGCTGTTATGGAGTGATTAATGCTGCCTTCTATGGCTGCAAAGTTTGGTCGTACATGTTATGTATATGTTAAATTTGAATCACAGTTCCTATGATCACTGTTACATTGTCATTATAGCTTTATTTTGGTGATTTCGAAAACGTTTTGGTTTAGCCATATTTGTTTGTTGTAGTACAGAGTTAGACTAATAACTTTAATCGAAATTGTCTTATGGTTTTTATTGTTTGACTTGCATCCCACTGGGATTTTTGCACACAGCATTGATATGCGGTGCTTTTTCTGGAAGAATTTGCTGTTTTTTCCTGGATTTTTCTGTTGGGCGTAGTCACTTTAAGATGTTTCTTGTTCATGTTTTTGTTTGTTGCGGTTGCACCCGAGTCAAGAGCCGAATGGCTCACAGGGCTATACCTAATACATGAACTGAACTGATATCTCTCCATCTCTCTCCATCTCCCTCCATCGTTCTCCATCTTTCTATCTCTCTCTATCTCCCTACGAGAACCATCGACTGCTGTGCGATGGCATTGCAGCGTTGCAAGCTGCCGCCTTTATTATCCAATTCATGACAGAATCAGAATATTGTATTTATACTGGAGGAGGAATCCGATTAACTATAAAGCTCTTTGTCCACAGATATTCATTTGGGTCACAAAAGCTATAACAACAAACACAACACTAAACACACGACAGGAGGACAGAGTGTTGGAAATTGCGAGCTGATCACTAAACTAAAATATAATTATTTTTAGCAGGCAAAGCCCCACTGACTTACGAGTTCAGCAAGTCGTAGGATTTCGCGAGCAATATCATTCATAATACATTTATTTTTTATGGGGGTGGTTAGATCTCGTATGTATATAAATGTGTGTCGTTAAACCCGTTAAAATGTTGTAGGTTTGACTCTCCAACGCACAACAACTGGTCGGTGCTGTACTCAGTAATGAATTGGCCACGTTTTGTTGACGTGACACGCCACCTTTTTACTGATTGGCTACGTCAGGTGGTGGAGGATTTAACGACACAACATTGACATTTACGCGTTCTAACCACCCCCAAAAAAATAACCTCTATTAGGTGTCACTTACCGTTTGGATGATACAGAGTGCGACGGGCGGACAATTGTGAGTTACTTATCTATACACATAGCCTGTTTATATAGAGACATCCACACAGAGAGAGACTGCTAAATGACTCGAGTCTAAAACGTTCACGCGGGGGGTCCCTTAGAGCAGCAGCAATGCCCAGACCCCCGTTGTGGGCTGTCCACGGGACCCCCACCACGGGACCCCACCACGGGTCTCCACCACGGGACTCCACCACGGGTCTCCACCACGGGACTCCACCACGGGGGTCACGACGCTGGTGATTAGCCCCGAATTCGTCTGACAAGTAGTGGTGGTGGTGGGGGAGCGGTGGTGCAAGCGGTCAGCGCTACGCCGCTCTGCGAACCCGGCGACCCGAGTTCGATTCCCGCTCACGGTCACCAACACCCAGTGACCATATTCTTAGGTTTTTTTCGGTAAAGTCACGTAGGTAAAACATCAAAATTAATGAAAATAAAATAAAATATTAATTTTGATGTTTTACCTACGTGACTTTACCGAAAAAACCTAAGAATATGGTTCCTTGCAGTCACGAAAGCTTCAAATCTAGAATTAATACCCAGTGACCATTATCTGAACCTCCCCTAGGTCGACTCAGCCTGGTGCGGTGCGTAAAAGCATCGCCACTGGGGAGACAAAGGCGGCCGGGCGTGGTGTTGGACCACCCACCCCCTCGTGCGCCGTGCCGGCCTTCATAGGTGCTGCTCGCTAATAGCACTTGCCCCAACAGTCTGTTACAGGCTACACGGGGGATTTTTTTCTTTGTTTGCTTGGATTCGTCTGATCAGTGATCCCCATTGTGGTCAGAGGCCTGAAATGAATCATGGATATTTGGAATTAGCTGTGGAACGCGCAAAGTCCAATCCCATCGCCCCTCGTGCACACACAGCACCAGTGTGTGTGTGTCGCTCAGCCTCAAAATAGTTATCAGTGCAAGGGTGTGGTGTAATCTTAATTTGAAGCTTTCGTGACTGCAGGAATCCATACCCTTTGGTTCTTTCGGTAAAGTCACGTCGATAGAAAATGAATAGCTCACGACGTTTCGATCGCAACACAAGCGACCGTCTTCAGGTGACAGAGAGAAAGGTACTGAAACAAGGTCTTATATAGGCCTGAGATGGGTGCAGCCTCAGGGTAAGAGGGCGGGCGTGGTGTCGTAAACAACGCCACTGGGGGAGACAAAGGCGGCCGGGCGTGGTGCTGGCCACCCACCCCCTCGTGTTGCCACAGTGCGTTGCTGCTCGCGACTAAGAGCACTTGCCCCAACAGTCTGTTACAGTTTGACTTAAAACTTTCGTGGCTGCAGGAATTCATATTCTGTGGTTCTTTCGGTAAAGTCACGTAGATAGAAAATGTTATAATTAAATAACAAAAATGAAAATTAAGTGAATACAAAAATACTAATATCACAATGTTTCGATCACAACACAAGCGGTCGTCATCAGGAACAGGGAGGTTCGTCTCTGAGGGCAAGCTGTTTATAAAGGTTCACATCAACATCAGCTGCCCCGCCCATCTCTAAACTTTAGCTCGTCCAATCGAGGCCGGCTTCCGGTCACGTGCCATTAGCACGACCCACAGAGACATCCAACTGTGTCTCTACACTTGTAATAATAAAGTAACTCGGCACGAGGTGCAACGCCATTTTATTATTAGATTTCCGCGCAAAAACGGCAATCTAAAGGCGACCCCCGCGACTACGACCTAATTGGTTCCTGGGCAATGGCCGCAAGTCGAGGCGTCGTAAGTCGAACCCCTCGTTTCCTGTAGGCGCAATGTTATACATTGGGGTTCCGTTCCTGGAAACCCATTACGTACCATATGAATACTTTTCTGCACGTGCACCATATTTCTTCTCCTCAGACGCAAAAGCGAAAGGTGAAAAAAAGTTTGAAGAAAATGTACAATCTTCAAATCAAGATTTACAGAAGAGTAAAGAGATCTTGACTTAAAGCTTTCGTGAACGAAAGACACAAATGCACACCACGTTTTCTCATTGAAAATAGGTACATTTCAAACTATCACGGTCCTGGTCACAAAGTTTGTGGGGAATAATAGCCATTTTCTGTACTTTTTAGGCATAATCAATTAGTAAATAACACTTACTACCCAGGGACAAAAATCGTGTTACATAGTGTTACCAGTATTTTGTTATTGAAATCAACTTGAATATCAAAGTCTTCGTTGTGCGTATCTTCATTTCCACCAACAACTCAATCGACGGTCAATTAACATTACCGAGTTCCTGTTAGTCGATCGACATTCAAGTAATATCGATTCAACAGCTATATATTATTGGAGCTAATGTAACGCACAGCTTACCAGTCGAGTGATGACCACCACGCTCGACGATTGGAAGTCTGTCATCCGCGTGCAGCTCACGACCGTCGAACGTTGTTGATGTTCAGTCGCGCTCACGCGTCGACGAGTGTGGCGAGATGTTAACTACCTCGCCTGGTGTGCAGGAGGTCGTGGGTTGGATCCCGACCCTGAGAATGCCTGCTGCTGTAGATTTGGAGTTTGCGTCTTTCTCTCTCTCCTCGTGGTCGCGTGGATTTTTCTCCGGGTCCTCCGCTTTTCCCCTCCACATTTAGAATCAAGGTCACGCGTTCAGAGTGATTTGGCTGCTATCCATTTCCATGTGATAAGCCACTTCGTTGAGCTAACATTTGCGATAGCCACATCGCTTATGAAAAAGAGCTACCACATTGCAGCTCAGTGGGGCCTTACCTGGTAAAATAAATATAGTTTAGTTTATATTCAACATCACGCATTTCGAGTTATTTGCATTCTGCTATAATGTACACGTGATGACGATGATAAGCCACTTCGTTGAGCAATATAAAATACCATATATTGAGGGAGTAATTGACGAATTAGCTAGAGTTTAGGAAAAACTAAAAAATCAAGAGTAGGATTTGGCACGGTATACACAATTCAAAAACTAGTCTCGCTCTAAATCCGAGCGCAGGGAGAAGGCCTTGCCGCACTCAGGGCACGCTTGCGGCCTCTCGCCCTCACCCACACCACAACAGGGAAATTAAAAGTGTGTGGTTAAGAAAAATGTAAGGAATCAGACGGAGAGTAAGGCCTAACAGAATGGCTTGACGACAACATCAAAAGAGGTTGGTTACCAGAAAGATGTGGCTCTACTTGAGCATATTGGCACTACAAGAAAAAAGAAAGTGGTAACAAATGACGAAATGTGCAGTGGATACCAACTACTACGGGGCTATCTGCACATGGATGTGATGCTGATGAACCGCCCACGATGGGCAAGGTTTTGGTGTATTGAGAATCGGTGTTCACAATGCGAGCATCTCTTTTGGCTTCTGCGACAGATGTAACTTTGTCTTGCACACAAACCCAGAGACGCCTTTACTCCGATGTTGCAAACAAACACCACGAGGTCGGTTCTTCTTTAAGGGGTTTTTTGTACGATGACGTTTGGTAAGAACGACAGACGTTGCGATCTCAGCGAGAGAACAACAACAAAAACACCAGTACAATAAAAGAGTTTAGGAGTGCACTTTAATCACATTTAGGAATACACTTTACAGATTACAGAATCGTCACTTCACAAACCTTAACGGCAGCGAGTTGTCAACTTTGTTATGGGGGTTAGTGGCTCCGGTGTGCGCGGAGTTATTGAATCTCACTTTTACAGAAAAATACTTTCAAGAAAAAAATGCATAAATATGCCTCTTTGGTACCCTGATTGCCAGTGCAATGAAGGCCTCCAAAGGCGTCACATCTTGGATGAAGTTTATTGTCTTAACAACAACAACGTCCAGTGGCTACCACCAGCCAACTCCATTCCCTTTCTTCTCTCTCCCGAGCGCCCGTCGTTCCCCCCTCCCTGTTCCCTTTTCTCCTCCCTATTCCCCTCTCCAATCCTAGCCCATGCTTTCCTTCTAACCAATCTCTCTGCTGCCCTTCTAACAGTCCCCGACGGATCCTCCCCCTTATTGCCTCTTTCAAATAAGGTAGTCCTCTACTTACGATGGAGATGCGTTACGACGACCCCATCTTAAGTCGAAAATATCGTAAGTCGAAAATGGCCTAGCCTACCCAGGAGTCTTACAGCATGGTGATAATTTGGCAAAACAGAGCAATTTACAGTACCGTACTGTATAAACTATATACTGTATGTATGTATTAATTACAATACTGTATTGCACAGTAAAATGTAAAGTAAAAAAACAAGGTAAATTCTTACCCTACCTATATGAACTGCAAATTAATAGAAAGTTTTTTTTCAGGAAACAATCCTATCTGCTAAAAAAAAAGACTTTTAACATGCATTGAACGTATCGTATCGTGGTAACCTTAAAATGAAATCGCTAAAGCTACGTATAATACATGCATTGAACGTATCGTAACATATCATTACTGTACTCACCAAGATTCTGTCCGTCGTCTGCATACTTGAACGATGTTAGGTTGTTGATGGAAATTTTGTCGTACCGCTATCGCCATCGTAAAATCGAAATATCGTAAGTCGGACCATCGTAACTCGGGGACTACCTGTATTCCTGGCTTCCCCCTCTTTCAAACCTTCCAACCAATTACCATCTAGCAGGCCACAGCCTCGCTATCCTTATGCAGTACTGCCCCCTCGTGGCGGTTATGGTGTTTATAATATCCATGTAAACCCAATGTCTTACGAAGACGCTATCCAAGGATGTCTTAACATCATTATACTATATTCTTTGGGTCTTTCGGTAAAGTCACGTAGATAGGTAAAAAAATTTATACAAAAACTACGACGTTTCAATCGCAACACAAGCGATCATCTCCACCTGATGACGATCGCTTGTGTTGCGATCGAAACGTCCTAGTTTTTTGTCATTTTTTTACCTATCTACGTGACTTTACCGAAAGACCCAAAGAATACGAAATCCTGCAGTCACGAAAGCTTTAAGTAAAGATTTATCCTTACACCAGTAGAAAGGTATTCAATAAGACTGGCAAAAAGGGCCCCATTTTTTATAACTGCTTAACCGGAGCTGTTGATAATTTCAGGGTTTGCATTGTCCATGTACTGTCCTCCTCTTGGCAGCCTCTGGTCTAACACTGGTGGTGAAACGAAGCCACGAAGGAGGCTATCTCTGGTGTAGTCCAATCAGTTTCAAGGATAGTGCGTACAGTATTAAAGCAAGTTTGAATGTTTTACCACACGTCTGTGTAGTGAATGCAGACTTTATGCCTTGTTATAGAATGTCTTCATTTTATGCCAGAAAAGCGTGAAGCCTTTTTTAAATCATTCAAATTTAACTGTTAATTCATGAAGTTTTTTTTTATTCCGAAATCAAAGTGATTATAAATGATGATCGCCTTCAGAAAATTATGCATTTAGATTTATAGTATCATAATTCTACCTGCAAACGCCCTTTGTTGCACTCTCAAGTCTGATTCACTCGGGTGACAGGAGAAAGCCAGAAAAGGAGCTGTCTATATCATTGCGCACGAAGATACCGTTGTAGGCACCCGTCACCTCCAACCAGACCTGATCCCCCGCCTTGAGACTTAGCACGGACCCACCACTCACGGCCACTCCAGGCCAGCCATGCACCCAAGCGCTGTGGTACCTGTTCACCACCTCCCCGTTTCTCTTCAGGTTCGCGTACACGCTCTCCCAGAACACGCACACGTGCATCACGAAGTAGTAGGTGCCCGGGTAGACGCACGTGAACTTGCCCGTGCTCGGATTGTAGTGATTCCCGCTGTTGGTGAGTATCATGTCGAACTTTATGGGCAATCCCGACGCCGGTCTGGGCGTCGACAGCTTGGCTGTGAAGGCGGACTTGAGTACCGTGGCGTCTGCAGTAGCAGTTACATTGGGAAAACAAAACGACATGTCTCGGACCGTGTCCGCGAACACAAAGCAGATTTGAAACACGGCAGAACCAATACCTCTGTCGTGGCTGACCATTGTTATAACGCAGTGGGCTCACACGACATTATTTTTTCCGAGACAAGGTACTCTGCAAACCTTCTGGCTACCATCAAAGATTTATCCATGAAGCCATCCAGATATATAAACACAGAGCAGGGGCGGTTTCTTCATTAGGGCGATTGGGCGACGCACCACCAATGTCATTCAACCAGAGTTACGCTAGCCGTTATTGTGCCTCTGGATATAGTCCAATCAGCTTCATGTCACGTTCTGTGGAGTTCTGCCTCTTTTTGGGCGATTTCACTCTGGCTGAGAATCGCCCAGAGTGTTCCCATAGACTTACATTCAAAGATGTTTTTTTTAGAACGGCGGGCGCTCCAATGCATTCTCTATGGCTTCCGGGAGGGCTCGCACTAACGTGCTTACGTCATCATACGTAAGAACGTTTCAGTCAACAATATTATTTGTCGCCACCTAGTGGAATCTCTAATAAAAAAAACTGAGTGGATTGTAATAATAGTGAGTATAGAAACAAACAAGATGTATTGTAAGAGTCACTTTATTTTTCATTAAAATTAAAGAAGTGAAGTTGCCTTTACATGCTTAAGCTGTTAATTTATCCATTGCATGGGTGGACCTTATCCTTATCAATCATCCAGACATTTGCCCCCCCTGAGAGATTTTGCAGGAGCCGCCACTGACACAGAGACAACTTCAACCGAGAAGATCGACATAAGCTGAGCAACCATTGGAAGGACGTTATTCACCAGGTTAGTCATAACTTGCTGTGATGCTTCCATCCTGCCTACCGTTTGGCTGTTACCCTCCGACTTTCTGAGTTGCATTGACCTGTTTGATGCCTTTACAATAACGGGCTGAGGTATCACCAACATGGCCTCCCTTAGCCTAGATGTATCGATGGCCCTTGATATCCTACAGGCTGTGTGTCTCACTGGCGCGGCTACTCTCTGAGCCATTCTCTCTCTCTCTCTGAGTCGTTCTGTCTCTCTCTGAGTCGTTCTGTCTTTCTCTGAGTCGTTATGCCTCTCTGAGTCGTTCTAATTAACTTTGACTTGCTAATCTCTTCCCTAATCTCTCTCCCCATATTCTCTACATTAACTCAATATATATATAACCCCTGGATTGTGCCCCATTGACCTCTCTCTCTGAGTCGTTTTGTCTCCCTCCGAGTCGTTCTCATTAATTTTGACTTGCTAATATCTTCCCTAATATCTCTCCCCATATTCTCCACATTAACTCAATATATATAACCCCTGGTTTGTGCCCCATTGCCTCTCTCTCTGAGTCGTTCTGTCTCCCTCTGAGTCGTTTATGTTACGTTCTTAAGTAAGCTCATAAACATTATGAGACCTCATTTGCCAGTAGCAAGATATAGTAATATGTTTTTACCCTTTTACCTGGCAACAAAACTTATACATTTATACAAAGGATCATGTTTGCATTAACCACAACACTTGCGGTCAAAATGCAAACAAAAAGACAACTCTGATAATGTATGCGCTGTCCTTGAAATTGATTGGTCTACACCCGAGGCACTGTCCTTGAAATTGATTGGTCTACACCCGAGGCACTGTCCTTGAAATTGATTGGTCTACACCCGAGGCACTGTCCTTGAAATTGATTGGTCTACACCCGCCTCACCATTCGAGCAAGTGCAGGAGCACTTCGCCGGTTCCAGCTCCATGGCACCATCAGATGGCAGCGCTTGCAAGCTCAGCAGCAGCAGCAGCGATAGCAGCCAGAGACGAGACATCGCCAGTCACTCCCTGCGGGGAGAGGGTGGGGAGGTGGTAGTGGTGGTAGTAGTAGGGGTGGTGGTGGTAGTGGTGGTGGTAGTAGTGGTGGTTAGTAGTGGTGGTGTTAGTCGTCCTCTCTCGCCATCTCTCTCTGAGTCGTCCTCTCCCCCGCCCCCCAAGTCGACCTCTCTCTCTCTATCTCTCTCTAAATCTCTATCTCTTCAAGTACCTGGGCGTTTACCTGGGGAAACCACACGTCGCTCTGAACAACTGGACCGAGCTGGCCAACACAATCGAGGCTAAATTACTGACATGGACACGCCTCGCTCTGCAGATGTCCTTCAGGGGACGAGTGCTTGTCGCTAACACTCTGGCAGCATCCGTGCTGTGGCACAAGACTAAGGCCCTCCAGCCTCCTGCTTGGCTACTCACCAGAGTCAACCGCTCACTCGCGCACTTCGTCTGGCATGGGAAACACTGTCCGGGCGTTCTCTGCCTGCCGGTGGGTGAGGGCGGCCAGGGTCTGGTGGACGTCGCCGCCAGGGTCATGAGTTTCAGGCTCATGGCAGTCAGGCGGCTACTGTACGACCGGGAGGAGCTACCGTGGAAGTCGCCGGCCCTCGCCCTGCTGAGGAATGCAAGGGGGTGCCTGGGGTATAGAAAGGAGCTCTTCCTGATGGACCTGAGCCTGGTCGACTACACGAGGCTACCAGGTTATCACCAGAGCTTCTTGGATGCGTGGCGGAGCTTCGAGTGGAGCAGAACGCACGCGCCCTACGACCTCGCGCAGTTCCTGAACGAGCCCTTGTTCTGCAATGGCCTCTTCCAGGGGATCAGAGGAGAGAGGACCCTGGCTCTATGCCTCACATCAGCAGGGCTGCGGACAGTCTTCGACCTCGTGCAGGCCCCACCAGCGCAAGTGGAAGGCCGCAGCTGAGATCGCCAGCACCACGGGACTCTGCTCCACGCTCGCCGGGGAGAAGCTGCTGCGAGAGGTCGCTCCGCACCATGAAGGAGCTGTGCCTGAAGCGGGGGATGGTGGCGGCCCTCCCCCCCCTCCCCTCCTCCTCCTTCCCGGAGTTGTATGTCTCCTGCATGCACCCCCCTGACCACAGCGACTCCGGCAAGCTACTGATGCTCCGACGCTGCAGGAACATGCCCCTGAAGAGCACGCCGAACAAAGCGCTCTACACGTGGCTGTGTCAAGGCGCTGTATTCCCGGGACATGGCTGACCTACCGGACACAAAATGGAGAGACCATTTCTCTCCCCTCATTGCGGCCGCCCCCCAGTGGAAACAAATGTACAAGTCTCCCGTAGCCAAACGCTGTGGTGACCTCCAGTGGAGATTGGCACACTGCACGTTGCCATCGGCCGTGTGGCTCAGCCGAATCTCGCCGGGGGTAACAGATTTGTGCATTTCCTGCGGTGCCAGGGAGGATCTGCCCCACCGGTACTTAGGTTGCTAGCGGCTCAAACCTTTTGGGGGAAATCTTCAGGAAACTGGGGCTTCCCTTCTACAACAGCAGCTTCGTATATGGGGTGGTGCCTTACCTGGCTAACAAGCGCCATGACCTTGCCATCTTCGCCTGTGTTCAGGCGAAGATGGCGGTGTACAGAACGAGGAAAAAGATGCTGGAAGGTGACACTGACGGCTGCTCTGTGCGTCCAGTGTTCAGGGGCCTGCTCAAGGCACGGCTCCGGCTGGAGCACGCATACCACACACATACCAGTCTTCTTCGAACACTGGGGAGCCGGAAAAGCCCTCTGTACCAGCGTGCACGGCACCCTCGTGTTTACCTTCTGAAGCGCTCGCTCGTCACAGTGTCGGGCACGATGACCACCACCACGTGACTTTCATTTTTTGTTGTGCGCGGCGCATTTAGCGCCACAGCGCGTGGATTTATAGCGGTTATTTGTTTGCTGGTGACTTTGTATGTTTCGTATCGGAATCGCTTCCAGTGCTGTTGCTGCTGGCGGCAATGAAAGTTGTTTAAATGTCTATCTCTCTCTATCCCTCTCTCTATCTCTCTCTGCGGCAATAATAGTTATTTTAAAGTGAAAGGTCTATCTCACTATCTCTTTCTATCTCTCTCCATCTCTCTCCATATCTCTCTCTATCTCCCTACGAGAGCCATCGACTGCTGTGCGATGGCATTGCAGCGATGCAAGCTGCCGTCTTTATGATCCAATTAATGACAGAATCAGAATATTGTATTTATACTGCAGGAGGAATCTGATGAGCTATGAAGCTCTTTGTCCACAGATGTCCAGTCGGGTCAAAGAAACTACAACAACAAACACAACACTAAACACACGACAGGAGGGCAGAGTGAAGGAAATTGTGAGCAAATCACTAAACAAAAATTTCATGATTTTATTTTGAGCGGGCAAAGCCCCACTGACCTATGAGGTTATCATTTCTGAAGCCACCCTGGTTACCACAAATGATAGCAGCGGCATCAGCAGCTGCATGGGGTTAGCAAGCCACAGTCCATGCGGTGTGTGACTTACCAGTTCAGCAAGTCGTAGGATTTCGCGAGCAATATCCATAATACAGATTTATTTTTTATGGGGGTGGTTAGATCTCGTATGTACAGTATATTAATGTGTGTCGTTAAACCCATTAAAATGTGGGTTTGACTCTCCAACGCACAACAACCGGTCGGTGCTGTACTCAGTAACGAATTGGCCACGTTTTGTTGACGTGACACGCCACCTTTTTACTGATTGGCTACGTCGGGTGGTGGAGGATTTAACGACACAACATTTACATTTACGCGTTCTAACCACCCCCAAAAGAAATAACCTCTATTAGGTGTCACTTACCGTTTGGGTGATACAGAGTGTGACGGACTGACAGACAATTGTGAGTTACTTATCTACACACATAGCCTGTTTATATAGAGACACAAACACAGAGAGAGAGAGACTGCTAATTGACTCGAGTCTAAAAGTTCACGCGGGGTCCCTTAGAGCAGCCGTGATGGACGCGCGCCAGACTGCTGCCACTAATTATTTCGACACGCCAGAGAAAGCCACAACAGCCCAGACCCCCGTTGTGGGGTGTCCACGGGACCCCCACCACGGGACCCCACCACGGGGGTCACGACACTGGTAATTAACCCCGGCGTGATATACGAGCAAGGGTCATGTTGTTTTCTTTGGATTCGTCTGACAAGTGGTGGTGGTGGTGGAGGCGTGGTGGTGTAAGCGGTCAACACCCAGTGACCATTATTTGAACCTCCCCTGGGTCGATTCAGCCTCAAATGAGTACCTGGTGCAGTGCGTAAAAGCATCGCCACTGGGGAGACAAAGGCGGCCGGGCGTGGCGTTGGACTACCCACCCCCTCGTGTGCCTTGCCGGCCTTCATAGGTGCTGCTCGCAAACAGCACTTTCCCCAACAGTCTGTTACAGGCTACACGGGGGATCTTTGTCTTTGTTTGCTTGGATTCGTCTGATAAGTGATCCCCATTGTGGCCAGAGGCCTGAAATGAATTATGGATATTTGAAATTAGCTGTGGAACGCGCAAAATCCAATCCCATCGCTCTTCGTACACACACAGTGTCAGTGTGTGTTTGCGTGTGTGCGTTGCTCAGCCTGAAATGAATCCCTGGTGTAGTAGTGTGGTGTCGTAAACATCGCCACTGGGGGAGACAAAGGCGACCGGGTGTGGTGCTGGCCACCCACCCCTCGTGTTGCCACAGTGCGCTGCTGCTCGCGACTAAGAGCACTTGCCCCAACAATCTGTTACAGGCAGTACGGGGGATCTTTGTCTTTGTCTCTCCAATAGGTGGTAGTGTATATGCCTACACACCCTACATACAATAGTCAGTAGTATATACTACACACCCTACATACTATAAAGTCAGTAGTATCTACTACACACCCTACACACAATAGAGTCAGTAGTATCACTACACACCCTATATACAATAGAGTCAGTAGTATCTACTACACACCCTACATACAATAGAGTCAGTAGTATCACTACACACCCTACATACAATAGAGTCAGTAGTATCTACTACACATCCTATAGAGTCAGTCGTATCTACTACAGACCCTACATACAATAGAGTCAGTAGTATCACTACACACCCTACATACAATAGAGTCAGTAGTATCTACTACACACCCTACATACAATAGAGTCAGTAGTATCTACTACACACCCTACACACAATAGAGTCAGTAGTATCACTACACACCCTACATACAATAGAGTCAGTAGTATCACTACACACCCTACACACCCTATAGAGTCAGTAGTATCACTACACACCCTACACACAATAGAGTCAGTAGTATCACTACACACCCTACACACAATAGAGTCAGTAGTATCTACTACACACCCTACATACAATAGAGTCAGTAGTATCACTACACACCCTACACACAATAGAGTCAGTAGTATCTACTACACATCCTCCATGTTATCTACATGGGACCATGTAGATAACATGACAGTCTCTTCTGCTACTTCAATGTCAACCAAATGTAAAGTTAACTTGATCGCTAAATTCAACCGCCTGTCAAAAAAGAAGCCAGACCAACACGTTCAAAAGTTAGATGTTAACAAGATTGCCATCAATCAGAGTAACATCCCAATTTCCGACAGCCTAAAATCGGTACTAGCTAAAGGGTTGAATTTCGCAGTCACCCCTAAACATATCCCAGGGGATGATATAATCGCCCAGGTCGACGTAGCCCTCAAAGGCTTGGGACACATCTCGGCAGACGTTGCTAGATCTGAAATTGCTGCTGTCCTCAAAAACGCTGAGAACCCCATTAGCAACATCAGCAAGGACGAGCGTTTTGAACTCTCTAAATAAAAAAACAGAGATGACATTGTCATCCTCTCAGCCGACAAGGGCAATGCCACTGTCATCATAGATAAAACCACTTACAACAACAAAATTCAGGACCTTCTTAATGATGGCAGCTATACCAAAAACAACAGAGATCCCACCAACTGCCTAGCCACTAAAACCAACAATATCATCACTAAATAGACTTCTCTAATCAATCAGACCAAGCAGAGCTCCCTAAACCATTCGGCTGCTCGACCACCCAGATTTTATGGCCTTCCAAAAATCGAAAAAGTAGGTAACCTGCTCCGTCCTATCATCTCCACCATTAACTCACCCACCTACAAACTGGCCCGATTTCTGTCTGAGACCCTGCTTCCTTTCACGGGCAAGTCCACCTCAGCTGTACTTAACTCAGCTCACTTGGTTTCTCTAATCAAGGACATCTCACTGTCTCCGGATGATTTGCTTTTCAGTTTCGATGTAGTCTCTCTGTTCACCAATGTACCTGTACTTGACACAATTGCAATCATTGAAGACTTGGTCCAACAAGGACTGCATCCAGATGTACTAACTTTGGTAAGGCACTGTCTTACCAACACATACTTCGCCTGGAATGGTACATTCTACAAAAAAATGAGGGTACCCCAATGGGTTTTCCCTTATCGCCAGTGGTAGCGAATGTTTTCATGGAAAAATTTGAGACAGATGCCATCCAGACACACACCCTACGTCCTACCTTGTGGAAGAGATACGTAGTTCGTCATCTGGCCAAATGGCCTGCCAGCACTGAACCAATTTCTCAACCACATCAATTCCATACACCCGTCTATCAAATTCACCATGGAAGTGGAAAAGTATGGCAAGCTACCATTCCTGGATGTTTTGATCGAGAAGAGACCTGATGGCTCGTTGGGACATTCGTTATACAGGAAATCCACCCACACGAATGCCTATCTAAAGCCTGACTCCCACCACCATCCAGCCCAGAAGAATTCCCTCATCAAAACACGACACCATAGGGCCCGTTGCATCTCCGACCAGCACCGCCTAGCTAGTGAGTTGGAGCACGTACACCAAGCCCTCAGGATGAACGGATACTAGGACCGTACAATCCGCAAGACTGCCTCCCCGGCCATGGGGAGACAACCTTCTGAGGATCCAACCAAAACTATCACTTGGCCATACATAGCAGGCGTTATCAAAAAGATTTCCAAAATCTTAAACAAACACAGGATCCAGGTTCGTTTCTACACAGTACACAAAATCCTTGATTTAATCCCATCTGTAAAGGATGTGATTCCTGACATGCAATACCTTGGTGTCTACAAACTGACTTGTGGTTGTGGCAGAAGTTACATTGGGGGAACGAAACGACGTTTCGGACCGCGTTCGTGAACACAAGGCAGATCTGAAACACGGTAGGACCAATACCTCTGCCGTTGCTGATCATTGTTTAAACGCTGTGGGCTCACACGAAATAGATTTTTCCAAGACGGAGGTACTCTGCAAACCTACCGGCTACCTTCAGAGATTTGTTCATGAAGTCATCCAGATATATAAATAAGGACACAACTTCAACCAAGCGGATGGATACAAACTGAGCAATCATTGGAAGGACGTTATTAACCAGGTAAAGTCTTAACTGACTGTGATGTTTCCATCCTACCTGCCTGTGTCAGCTATTATTTCATGCTAATCTCTCACATTAACATAGCCACTTCCGTGCCCTCGTCCAGGAGGCCGCTCTTCTATCTTACAGTTACATGCTAAATTCTCACATTAACATCAATAGCCCCGGCCACTTCTTTATGACCCTTGGACTACACTCATTTCAAACCTTTTAAAAGTCTGCCTCAGCAGCAGACCATGCTTTCCCACCTCATGACGGACGCTTGTGTTGTGCCCGAAACGTCGTGATTTATTTTATTTTATACCTACGTTACTTTACCGAAAGAACCAAAGAGTATGGATTCCTGCAGTCACGAAAGCTTAAAATCAACACCCTACATACAATAGTCAGTAACGAATTGGCCATGTTTTGTTGACGTGACAAGCCACCTTTTTACTGAATACTACGTCTGGCGGTGGAGGACTTAACGACACAACATTTACATTTACGCAATCTAACCACCTAAAAAAATAACCTCTATTAGGTGTTACTTACAGTTTGGGTGATTCAGAGTGTGACGGAAGGACAGGCAATTGTGAGTTACTTATCTATATGTAGTGATATCGCTGGATGTCAACATGCTGGGTGCAGTGCCGTCCTCAGAGGGGCACGGCGTGCGGTGTAACGACATCGCGGATACCACAGTGGTGTGGATGTAGTCCGGCCCTAGAGGGGCCCGGTGAGTGCTGAATGATAGCGCTGGATGGCATCACGCTTTGCGTGCAGTGCCGACCCTACAGGACAGGGTGTGTGGGTGTCGGCCGAAGGATTAGGTTATTCGAGGCCATGGCACTCTGGTTGACCCGGGAGAGCACGTGACCAGTTAAGTCTACAAAGGGGCCCCAAGAGGGGGCTAGGGGTGGTCACGTGATTGGGACCAAGATCCTTCCCGAGGATTCTGGAAGGTGGCCGTGGCCAAGGGCAGAGCCAGCCACGCCACAGAGAACCCCTTAGTCTACGTTCTCCATTCAACGAGTCTCCAACACGTGGACCCGGACCGAAGCTTTTGGTCCCGGTCCGGAGTAGCAGTTATGTTGTAACTAGTGTAGATAGCCTGGTGGTCACAACCATCGGTTGTTATTCTGTTAAGGGGAAAGTTACCCCGTGTGTTGGAACTGATTAAATGTGTTGCCTTCAAGTCTACAACTGCGACTCATTCTTTGGTTTTTTCGGTAAAGTCACGTATAAAAATAAAATAATAAATTAAATAATAGCATACGACGTTTCGATTGCAACACAAGCAATCATCATCAGGTATAATGAAATATGTCGCTATTTCATTATACCTGATGATGATTGCTTGTGTTGCAATCGAAACGTCGTATGCTATTATTTAATTTATTATTTTATTTTTATACGTGACTTTACCGAAAAAACTAAAGAATAATTCCTGCAGTCACGAAAGCTCCAAAATTAAGATTGAACTGCGACTCAGTTGAACCCATTACATATACACACACACAGTCTG